GATCTTGCCTACGTCTGTTTTCCGGTATTTGTTTATGACGATGTGATGTGAGATGTGAGACTGGGTTGGAGAATTGCACAGGGGAAAATAACGTATCTATGCCACAATTTTAGATGCAGATTTTGTTAAACTAATACGTTTGCGCTGTGGACCAACACTATACATTGACGGGAAAGGGGGTAGCAATAAAGATAACACCATTAAACAGTTACACAACATAACAGAAATAATATCGATAGCAGCGTCCCTAGCAGCCACCTTGGTAACAATGAAAACGTTGTATGGACACAATTTCCTGAAGTACTCTTCGTAATAACTAGCAAACTAAAGATCATGTACATCCACTGCACACATAATCTGAAATAACAACTCATATTTCTCGCATCAAATGACATCAAAACGCATTTTAATGGCCAAACTAACCTTAAAATAGGCATTTTCCACCGAGAATAAAACGAAGTTCGGCCATGTTTTTTTTTCTGCAGGGAGAAAGGTGAAGATCACGTGACATAGAGCCATTGGAATGAATGGTGAAATAAAACGTAGGGATTTTACAATTTCAGAGGCGTTTTTGTAGAAATACTACGTCCCAAGTTGTGGACCAACGTAGTTATTACACGTTTAGATGTGAGACTGGGTTGGTAACTCCCTCTCTTGTATATCAGCATTTGAAGGACACTATTCTGGGAACTATTTGTCCCATGCAGCTCTGTATGTGATGACTACTTCCATTCTTTTCTTTTTTATATATTTTTATATATCTGAGAACTATAATATATCCTTAAAAATAGTAGCCTTAGGAAACCTCTATTGTAATACCCAGCTTTAAATGGTGTTAGCTGTGATCTGACCCTCGTAGTAGCCTATAGTATTGTCTATCAGATCTATATATTTCACTTTTCACTTCTGTTTTATCTTGATATTACCCAGCGGTGCGCCTGCCGCAGCGTCACCGCGCGGTAACGCATCAGGTACGCCATCACCAGCGCGGGCGAGCGGCTCTTCCCCGCCACACAGTGCACGAGCGTGCTGCCCGCGCGGTTGCCGTGGATACGGTCGGCCACGCGGTCGAAGTGATCCCCGAGGCGCGCGCAGGGTAGGTCGGGCACAGGGATGCGAACAAACTCCACCCCCTGGAGGGTGGGGCCCGCGTGGCTCAGCGTGGCGTTCACCACCAGCGTGACGCCTTTCATAGAGAGCAGCGGTGCGTTCAGGGCCGCCTCCGCCCCCCCCAGGAAGAGAGAGGGGGTGATCTGAGACACCGCCATCTGAAACACAGGGGGGGAGGCTCAGTGTGTGTGCGTTTGTGTGTGCGTGCGTGTGTGTGTGTGTGTGTGTGTGTGTGTGTGTGTGTGTGTGTGTGTGTGTGTGTGTGTGTGTGTGTGTGTGTGTGTTTATTCCGCAGTACATTTGCATGGCCGTTTGTCTGATTTACTCAGTTTGGTCGTTTCCCCTCTCCAACCTCGAATATTTCCATCTCTCATTTTACACTTGCCGGATTTTAAAGGGGGAAGTGAAATGACTGGAGCCAAAAGGCAAGAGAGAGAACTTTCTTTGTACGGGGGAGGCTCTAAGTCACACAATGGCTATTTCTCCCTCAACTTGTTCTTCTGGTAGTCTATCTGTCTATTTCCTTTTCTATCTCTCTGTCTCTCTCTCTCTCGCGACTGGGCACATTAGGCAAGCCGCCAGCATGGTCTTAGAAGCTTTCAGAGGTTGTTTGCTTTAGAAAACACACCTTTCTCTCTTTAATCAG